CAAAGTTTCTTTGGCTCTTTCTTCAGTCGTTCAAAACTATCCTCATGATATTTCTTCTTTGCATTCCTCCAAATATTAATAAATTTATTTCTACATTGTTTATATAGCTCCCACGCCTCTAAATACCAGTAGCCTGTTTCTTTTAACAGGAGAAACCTATTATAAGCTACATCCCTTTCCACCATGCGTTGTTTAATTTCTGCCGAAAACCACGGACACGGTTTACTTCGTACCCACATATCCGGTCTCCTGCCTTCCTGTATACTCTCACTCAATATTTGTTTTAAAAAGTGATATTTTGTCCCACAATCCATGTTTAAACTACTTTTATTTCTTAATTTATTCTGTACTACTTTAGATACCACTTCGTAATCAATCTTTCCCTTCATAAGAAACTTTTTTCGCTCACCTGTAGAACATGTGAGTCACCCTAAAATCGCAATATCAGTTATATAATGATCCGATATCCTTGGTGTGTGTAGTACTGTACATTTCATGTTTATATTATCGGTTATCACCCAAGGGGGGGGGGGGGACGACTGGTCGAATTTCATGTTGAAATACAGAAATCATTTCTCTTTTAGCAATCAGACCATTAACATTTAAAACTATTAGACGCCTCTTAGATTCATTTACCTTTGTTTTGGATTGCTATATGCTTTCATACATAATTCTTCTTCTTTTCATGCTCATTCTTCTTTGATAAACAGGACACTCGCTACTGAGTACACTGTGGCTACAATCTAAATTTAATTGTAGCTTACCGTTTGCCTTCACACAATTCGGGAGCACGCCATAATCCCGACTTTGGAGATCCCGACTAGACAGAATCCAGACAATTTTTAAAAATCCAGACAATACAAAATCCAGACAGGACATAATACAGACATAACAAAATCTCGACCAAATAAAATACAGATAACACATTATTCAGACAAGACAAAATCCCGACGACTCAAAATCCCGACAAGACACAATCCAGACAAAAATAAATTACAATGCGTCCGGAAATGAAATTGATGACTTATGCTTAAATATAAACGGTTACCACTCCACATTTTTCGCTTCTTCACTGCAAGGAGCCTAACCCTCTCGACAACCATTTTACTACAAGGGCGAAGGCTGCGTATTCTCGTCGATGGCAAACTAATTCCAACGGTGAATAACCGGAAAATACGATAGCGTACCACTTGTCACGTAAAAAGACATTTTTCGGATTATGACACACGTGAACGTACTCTTTGCTCCATTTAGCTTATACTGCCTGACGTATCACGTAATTTTCTTACGTATCGTTTTCGATCCATGAAAGGATGTTACGATTCGAGCCCAGATCTAGCGCTCGTTCCCGGCGCATACAACCGAAATTGCCAACCAAGTACAGAGCCGTAGTCCTCAATTCGGCAGTACTTGGCCAAAGACAAAGAAACGGTGTTGCAACCATACAAAGCCGTCCGGTTCTAAATTATACAGCGCCTGTGTGCTCGCCGGGTACAATTGGTTCGCAGTGGACGAAACTAAAGACATGCCACAATACAACACCCTGGACAACCAGAGGATGTCTTCTGATGTCGCCAGAACATAACATCCAAAGTGAAGCCGAAATTATCCCAGTAAGGTGCAACAGTTGTCAGCACTCGGACTTGCTTGAGCTGAAGGACCAGATCCAGCACTACGCACAGCACTCCTGGGACTGGGACTGTACAGACAGGCTATTAACGGCATTTACAAACTCCAGTCAAGTGAATGCCGTCATCAGTGCCAATCACCAAATCTCCTGGGCCTACCGTTAGTTTAGCCTGCGGACAATTACGGGCTAAGCAAGGCCTTACAACAATAACAACAACTGTGTCTTTTATACATAATTTTTGAGTGAAAACAGAAGACAATCATGACAAAAATCCCGACAAAATATAAAACTAATTAAAAAATCGCGCGATTAAAAAATCGGGATTTCTTGTCTTGATTGTGTCTTGTCGGGATTATGTAAGGTCGGGATTGTGTCTTGTCGGGATTACGTGCATTGTATTGCTGCCGCCAGATGATTCCCTCCACATTTTACACATATTTTTCCACCTTTCATGCATCGCGATAATGCCAAATACTCATGTACTCTACACCTCTCCCAATGACGCGCGCGCGATTTTTTAATTATTGGGTGTATAATGAAATCCCGATATACAAAATACCGAAATACAGAATCCCGAAAGACATTATCCAGACACGACCAAATCCCGACCAGACATAATCCAGACACGACCAAATCCCCACCATACATAAGCCCGACAAGACACAATCCCGACCATACATAATCCCAACAAGACACAATCCAGACAAGAAATCCCGACAAAATATAATTAAAAAATCGCGCCATTTTTTTTTAATATTTTTATATTTTGTCGGGATTTTTGTCATGATTGTCTTTGTTACGTAGTGTTCGACACGAGTGTTTGCTTTGTAATGAATCTTCATTTGTTCCTTTTGTCATTTGCTTCTTACTTATTAACTTGCATACATAGGGTTGCCAACTACTTGCACAACATCTCCCTTTTGTTTTCCGATACAATATAATTAGAAACATATTTGACTAAATATGTACGTAAATTTGAAATTAAAGTAATACAATACAATTAAAAACATATTTGGCTAGATATAGATATACATTCGAGACTAAAGTACTGTGCTTACATGTAAGTGTGACAATTAGCTAAAGATCTAACTTTTGCGGTGGAGCTATTCTACGACCGCTTCTGGTGGTGATGACATTTTCTTTAATAGTTTGGTTTTTTGCGCTTAGAGTACTAGTGTTCTCGAGTTCCGGTTGTGATATATCGATATCACTTCCCTTTCTCGCACCCGACTCCGTCTTTTCGTTTATATCTGGCTCATTGTTTGCCATATTATTACTGCTGTTATTTACTTCGGAGCTATTTAACATCGATGGTTTTTGTTCTGGAATTTTCATGATATCCACACTATTTCTTCTGTACAGATTTTTGTTTTCATCTAAAATTGTAAAAAACCTAGGTTCCTCACATTTTTGTACAATTTGACCTGGTACCCATAGGAACATAGGATTTTTCTTATAATAAATTCGATCTCCTTTCTGAACTGGTTTCAACTCTTTTGCAGTTCTGTTATACCTGCGTTTCACTTCTTCAAGTCTTTGTTTGCACCGATTTTTGACCGATTTCTGGTCTACTATTTTGGCTTTCATTTCTGTTCTAACTAGCGGTAATTTTGTTCTAAGCGTTCGCGACATTAACAGTTCAGCTGGACTGGGCATATTATTTTTAAGTGTGGTCCGATAGTGAAACAAAGCTATATACGGATCTGATCCCGTTTCTTGACTCTTAGTTGTATATATATATATATATATAGTAGTTTTTTAATAGTTTGTATAGACCTTTGAGCGAGACCATTCGAGCGAGAATGATATGGACTAGAGGTGTGATGATCAATTTTCCACTCGTTACAAAAGTGCCTGAACTCCTGGGAGCTAAATGTTAACAGGACTACTGGAATACCCTGCCTCGAAAAAATTGACTTAAACTTTATAACAACCTGTTGGCACGAGTAACCGCCACTTAGATGTTCGATTTCTATATATTTGGAGAAGTAATCAACTACTAAAAGATACATTTTGTTATTAAATTCAAATAAATCCGCCCCTAACTTGTACCAGGGAACATCAACCACTTCGTGACTTAACAGCGATTCCTTACAATTTGAATTTCTGTGCCTTACGCAAGATTCACACCCTGTCACTAGGTTAAAAATGTCGTTATTTATGTTCGGCCAATAAACAGATCTTCGAGCTAACTCTTGACATCGCTGGATGCCCATATGTCCTTCATGAATATAGGATAACATTTTTGTTCTCAAAGATTTGGGTACAATTACCCGGTTATTTTTTAATAATATCCCTTTGATTTCGTTTATGTCGTCCCTGAATGCGTAATATGGGCTTACATCGGGGTCCACTTCTTTCTTTGACGATGGCCAACCTGTCTTTAAATATCTACAGATTTTTTGGAAGACCGGGTCCTGACCCGTTGCTTTTTTAATATCCTCTATCTCCCTTTCTGGTAAGGCTACGTGTGCAATTACTGCGTTGCAATGTAAGTCGAGTTCTTTGTCTACGTTGGCGTCCGTTATTTCTTTAATCGGGGCTCTGGATAGGGTGTCAGCTATATACATTTGTGTACCAGGCTTATACTTAACGGTCAAGTTGTACATTAACAGTCGTAGTCTAAATCTTTGAAGACGTGCCGGTATTTTATATAAAGGCTTATCGAAAAGAGGTACAAGTGGTTTGTGGTCTGTTTCTACCGTGATGTTTTTTTCCGTATAGGTACTGGTGAAATTTTGTACAACCAAACAAAATTGCGAACATCTCTTTCTCAATTTGAGCGTAATTAACCTGACTATTAGACAGAGAGGCTGACGCATAAGCAAGAGGATTAATACCATGCTCCTACTGCAAACTGGGATGCATCAACAGACAACGTTACTGGTTGATTTGGATCGAAGTACGCTAAAACAGGCGTTTTTGTAAGTTCTTGTTTCAAGTATTCAACTTCCTTATCATGAACGTCCTGCCAGTGCCATAATTAATCACTTTTGAGTAAATTGCGTAAGTTTTGGTTTTTTGCTGACAAGTTTTTGATGAAAGAACCCAGGTAGTTGACCATACCTAAGAATCGTTGAAGGTCTTTTACATTAGTGGGTTTTGGCATTTCAGCAATTGATTTTACTCTCTCCGGATCGACCTGTATGCCCTCTTTATGAAAATGTGCCCTATAAATTTAAGTTTTTCCTTAAGAATATTGGATTTACTCCTATTAAACCGTAACCCTACTTCATTTGCTCTTTTCAACACCTTTTCCAGTATTTTACTGTGCTCTTTTACATCTTCCGCATGTATCAGAAAATCGTCCATATATATAATCAAACCCTGAATGTCCCCAAATAGCCTCACCATTTCCGCATGAAATATTTCAGGTGCGTGCTGCTTTTATGCCAAAAGGCAGACGTAAAAACTTGTAACAACCGAACGGAGTTATAAACGTACATAACTTCGAAGACTCCTCATTTAATGGGATCATCCAAAAGCCCGAACTGGCATCTAATGTGCTAAATACTCGAGACCCAAACATTTTAGACTTGCATTCTTCCACCGTAGGCAACGTAAAACGCGGCATTACTATTGCTTTATTTAAATTTTTGGGATCTAGACATATCCGTAAATTGCCATTTGGTTTGGTCACAATCACAATAGAGCTAACCCATTCTGTTGGGCCTTCTACCGGCTCTATAACGTTAAGGTCCATCATTCGTTTCACTTCCCGCTTTAAAGGTTCGTACAAACTAAACGGAATTCTACGCGATGCGTCCACGGTTGGGATACTACCTTCCGTCAGTTGTAAACCACACTTTCTTTTTAATACACCCAATCCACTAAACGTTTCAGAGTACTTTTCCAACAAATCTTCACTCTTTATTTCATTAACCATCTTTATAAGCTCTAACTCTTTTGCTGTAGGTAAACCTAAGACATTTTGGCAACTCATTTTTAGTATGTAAAATATCGCCTCAAAGGTTTTGTTTGCATACTCGAATTTAAGGTTAGTTGTACCAACTACTTCCAGTTTTTCACCACTGAAAGTTCTAATTGTATTCTTTACATTGTAATTTATTTGCGCTTTTAACAAATCTGCTGTTGCTTTCGAGATCAAATTCACTTGTGACCCTGTATCGACCTGACATCTTAACTCTACTTTACTTATGTATATATTTATGTACCATACATCTTTGCTTTTGTAAGTATCCGCCTGCCGCTCGCTGATTTCGCCAACAAATAACGCGCTTTCCTCTTCGCCTTCATCCGCCTCATACATACACATCTGCTGCCCTGAATTGTCCTCTGCTCTGTCTACTACTTTTTCGACTGCTCTCACATACATACGGGAATTTCCACCGCCGTTAGTTTTTTTTCGCATATAACACATTTTAGCATAGTGGTTGAGTTTACCGCAATTATGGCACTTTACCCCTTCTGCTGGGCATTTGTATTTATGCCACGTTCCACATTTGGTACAAGGAACGGCCTGCACTTTGTTTGTTGTTGCTGCATAACTGCGTGGTTATTACTTCTGTTACGGATAACTGCTATAAACTTTTCAGTGTTTGCACCCAATTCGGCTGAGTTTTCTTTGGCTAATACCATGTTTTTTTTTGCGATTGCCACCGCTTTATCTAATTTTAAGTCCACTTCGCTGAGTAAGCGTTCTTTGACGCTTTTAAACTTTGGCGAAAGCCCACACACAAAAATGTCTCTTATTAAATCTTCACGTAGGGTTTTAAATTCACATGATAGGCTAAGGTTCTTTAAGACAGTTACGAATTCTTCAATTGTCTCTTCTTCAGCTTGCTTTCTGGAGAAGAACCGGTATCTCTCCACAACCACATTCACTTTAGGCACGAAGTAGTTGTTAAAACTTTTTAGGAGTTCATCGTAGCCCACCGTATCAATGTCATAGTTGAACGAGTTAAACACCAAGAGCGAATCAGGTCCTATGTGGTGCAGTAATAGTGCCACCTTTTGCTGGTCGGTCTGTTGCTCCAGGCCCGCTGCGCGCATGTATATTTTGAACGCAGTTTTCCAATTATTCCATGCGAGTGACAAATTGGTAGCCTTTAAATCCAATGGGGTAACTGTTATAGCCATGCTGACCACTTTACTGCTTTCTGCCGTTGTTTGCGCCTTCTCTGTGGGCATGATGAAAATATATATGTATTTCTTTATTTTCGACCGCGATCTGACACCATGTTACGTAGTGTTCGATACGAGTGTTTGCTTTGTAATGAATCTTCATTTATTCCTTTTGTCATTTGCTTCTTACTTATTAATTTGCATACATAGGGTTGCCAACTACTTACACAACAGTCTTCTGTTTTCACTCAAAAATAATGCATAAAAGACACAGTTGTTGTTATTGTTGTAAGGGCTTACTTAGCCCGTAATTGTCCGCAAGCTCAACTAACGGTAGGCCCAGGAGATCTGATATTTCGATGAGGTATAACCAGAGGGAGAGGGGGGGATGTTAGTTGAGTTGGATTGAGTGAGCATGTGAAGAGGTGGTTGGTGTCAAGGGGGGAATCTCCACATGTTGGACACTCATTTTCGATGTTTGGGAGGCGAGTTGGGCCATGTCGTTGGGGTATCTCGTGGCAGTTGAAGCTCACTCTCGTTCACATGTGGTGATTGGCACTGATGACGGCATTCACTGGACTGGAGTTTGCAAATACCGTTAATAGCCTGTCTGTACAGTCCCAGTCCCAGGGGTGCTGTGCGTAGTGCTGGACCTGGTCCTTCAGCTCAAGCAAGTTCGAGTGCTGACAACTGTAGCATCTTACTGGGAGAATTTCGGCTTCACTGTGGATGTGATGTTCTGGCGACATCAGAAGACATCCTCTGGTTGTCCAGTGTGTTGTATTGTGGCATGCCTTTAGTTTCGTCCACTGCGAACCAATTGTCCCCGCCGAGCACACAGGTGCTGCATAAATTAGAACCTGACGGCTTTGTATGTTTGCAACACCGTTTCTTTGTCTTTGGCCGAGTACTGCCGAATTGAAGACTACGGCTCTGTACTTTGTTGGCAATTTCGGTTGTATGCGCCGGGAACGAGAGCTAGAGCTGACAATTTTCCGGTTATTCACCGTTGGAATTAGTTTGCCATCGACGAGGATACGCAGCTTTCGTCCTTGTGGTAAAATGGTTGCCGAGAGGGTTAGGCTCCTTGCAGTGAAGAAGCGAAAAAATGTGGAGTGGTAACCGTTTATATTTAAGCATATGTCATCAATTTCATTTCCGGACGCATTGTACTTTTTTTTGTCTGGATTGTGTCTTGTCGGGATTTTGAGTTGTCGGGATTCTGTCTTGTCTGAATAATGTGTTATCTGTATTTTATTTGGTCGGGATTTTGTTATGTCTGTATTATGTCCTGTCTGGATTTTGTATTGTCTGGATTTTTAAAAATTGTCTGGATTATGTCTAGTCGGGATCTTCAAAGTCGGGATCTTCAAAGTCGGGAGTGCTCCCATGGCAAACTAATTCCAACGGTGAATAACCGAAAAATTGTCAGATCTAGCTCTCGTTCCCGGCGCATACAACCGAAATTTCCAACAAAGTACAGAGCCGTAGTCCTCAAAGACAAAGAAACGGTGTTGCAAACATACAAAGCCGGGGACAATTGGTTCGCCGGGGACTAAAGACATGCCACAATACAACACCCTAGACAACCAGAGGATGGCTTCTGATGTCGCCAGAACGTCACATCCACAGTGAGGCCGAAATTCTCCCAGTAAGGTGCTACAGTTGTCAGCACTCGAACTTGCTTGAACTGAAGGACCAGGTGTAGCACTACGCACAGCACCCCTGGCTATTAACGGTATTTACAAACTCCAGTCAAGTGAATGCCGTCATCAGTGCAAATCACCACCTGTGAACGTGAGTGAGCTTCAACTGCCACGAGATACCCCAACGGAGGCCCAACTCGCCTCCCAATATCGAAAATGAGTGTCCAGCATGTGGAGATTCCCCCCTTAACACTAACCACCTCTTCACATGCTCACTCAATCCTTCAACTAACATCCCCCCTCTCCCTCTGGTTATACCTCATCGAAATATCAAATCTCCCGGGCCTACCGTTAGTTGAGCCTGCGGACAATTACGGGCTAAGTAAGCCCTTACAACAATAACAACAACTGTGTCTTTTATAGATTATTTTTGAGTGAAAACAGAAGACAATCATGACAAAAATCCCGACAAAATATAAAAATAATTAAAAAATCGCGCGACAAGACACAATCCAGACAAAAAAAAATACAATGCGTCCGGAAATGAAATTGATGACTTATGCTTAAATATAAACGGTTACCACTCCACATTTTTTCGCTTCTTCACTGCAAGGAACCTAACCTTCTCGGCATTTTACCACAAGGACGAAAGCTGTGTATTCTCGTCGATGGCAAACTAATTCCAACGGTGAATTACCGGAAAATTGTCAGATCTAGCTCTCGTTCCCGGCGCATACAACCGAAATTGCCAACAAAGTACAGAGCCGTAGTCCTCAATTCGGCAGGACTTGGCCAAAGACAAAGAAACGGTGTTGCAAACATACAAAGCCGTCCGGTTCTAAATTATGCAGCGCCTGTGTGCTCGCCGGGGACAATTGGTTTGCAGTGAACGAAACTAAAGACATACCACAATACAACACCCTGGACAACCAGAGGATGTCTTCTGATGTCGCCAGAACATCACATACACAGTGAAGCCGAAATTCTCCCAGTAAGGTGCTACAGTTGTCAGCACTCGAACTTGCTTCAGCTGAAGGACTAGGTCCCGCACTACGCACAGCACCCCTGGGACTGGGACTGTACAGACAGGCTATTAACGGTATTTACAAACGCCAGTCAAGTGAATGCCGTCATCAGTGCCAGTCACCACCTGTGAACGAGAGTGAGCCATCTGCCACGAGATACCCCAACGAGATGGCCCAACTCGCCTCCCAACATCGAAAATGAGTGTCCAGCATGTGGAGATTCCCCCCTTGACACCAACCACTTCTTCACATGCTCACTCAATCCAACTCAACTAACATCCCTCTGGTTATACCTCATCGAAATATCAAATCTCCTGGGCCTTCCGTTAGTTGAGCCTGCGGACAATTACGGGCTAAGTAAGCCCTTCCAACAATAACAACAACTGTGTCTTTTATACATTATTTTTGAGGGAAAACAGAAGACAATCATGACAAAAATCCCGACAAAATATAAAAATAATTAAAAAATCGCGCGATTTTTTCATTATTTTTACATTTTGTCGGGATTTTTTGTCGGGATTTCTTGTCTGGATTGTGTCTTGTCGGGATTATGTATGGTCGGGATTTGGTCGTGTCTGGATTATGTCTGGTCGGGATTTGGTCGTGTCTGGATAATGTCTTTCGGGATTCTTGTTTTCGGTATTTTGTATATCGGGATTTCATTATACACCCCGTTCATGGATCGAAAACGATACGAAAGAAAATTACGTGATACGTCATGCAGTATAAGCTGAATGGGGCAAAGAGTACGTTCACGTATGTCATAATCCGAAAAAATGTCTGTCTGTATGTCTGTATTATGTCCTGTCTGGATTTTGTATTGTCTGGATTTTTAAAAATTGTCTGGATTATGTCTAGTCGGGATCTTCAAAGTCGGGATTATGGCGTGCTCCCTATTTTTCCACCTTTCATGCATCGCGATAATGCCAAATACTCATGTACTTTACACCTCTGCTATTTGATTTTAAGTCTTCCTTCTTCAATCATTCTTCGGAACGTCCGCGGATCAGTTTCTAGTACTACCATAAACGTATTCCTACTTTTCTTGTTGATTTTAACCTCAATTTTAAAATCCGCCTTGACTATTTCTGGGTTATGATTTTTTAATGCATTTAACAATTCACCATCTT